ACCAATCACAGTGCTCTATCAACAACTGTAATGCCTTCATTCCTTACTTGACAGCAGCTAATTTTAGTTATCTGTATGGCAGTGAGTTTTTTTTTTTTTCTTTCCGGTATGCCCAGTAATGCCCAGTATCTTCTCTTACCCTGGTAATTTTCTGATTCTGAAAACTCTGCCAAGGAATAAAATGACACTTTGTCTGCTCTATCCAGCTCTTCTCCCAAACCCTGGCACAATACTTTACAGCTATTATTCATTGACTCTCCTTAGGGCAGGAGGCATTGGCTTAATTTGCCCTTTCCCATTCTATTCCTTCCATTCTACTTCTATCATGTCTGGTGGCTTCAAAGTCTTCACAACTGAAGGACCTCACCAGTCAACTACACAACTCAGAGGTAATTCGGGAACATGGGTGGCAGAACAGCTAATGGAGCAGGAGGACAATGTGGTACTCAGATGATGTATCCAAAGCCTCATTTGCTCTCTGAATGAAAAAGACATTTTTGCAAAGCATCAGTCTTATAGAGGGGGTTCCTTCCCTGCTGGGATCAATAGTTCATGAGTCCGGGATGATTCTGTTCACTGGAAATGACTGGCGTCTTCATGAATAATGGGTGGCATTTTCCCCTTGGCTTAAGCTTCCAAGTGCAAGACCTCAGTTGATTCCTTACAGCCCTGCACTATCCTGATCTGTCCGTGTCCCAGCCTCATCATCTTTACAGCCTACAGCTGTGCCTGGCTAGTGCCATGTTCACAGGGTCAATTTTATAGCTAACCCAATAAACCATCTTAAAATCATCTCTGATATCCTTAAGATCCTCTGAGGGCCAGTTCAGTCACTCTTGCCTATATTGTTCAGTGGTAGGTTTCTTTCTAAGTTTTGTTGCCATTGTTTTCATTTTATTTGTGTATTGATGTATTCATATTTAGTTATGTGTTTAGTTAAGTGTTAGGTCCCTGGGGGTACCAACAGTTTAAGCTCAACTATTAACCAGAAAGTTGGCAGTTCAAATCCACCCAACAGCACCACAGAAGAAAGGCCTAGCAATCTACTTTCATAAGATCACAGCCATTGAAACTTATATGGAGCACAGTTGTACTCTAACACACAGGAAGAAGAATACTGAAACGGGGGATACCAAGAGCCAGAATTGACTTGATGGCAATGTTTTTTTTTTTTTTTCAGTTAAGTGTTAGGTCCATCCCCCCACGATAATAATCATAAATAACATTCTTTCAGTTTTGTTGAAATGCTTTACATGAATTAACTTATTGATTTTTTATGACAAGTCTTTGAGATATGTACTGTTATCACTATTTTGTTGTTGTTGTTGTTTGCCATCGAGTCGGCCCCGACTCATAGCGACCCCTCCTTGGGTTTCCAAGGCAGTATCACTACGGAAGTAGGATTGCCCAACCTTCCTTCCAAGGAGTGGCTGGTGGGTTTGAACCGCCAGCCTTCTGGTGAGCAGTCAAGTGCCTTAGGCACTATGCTACCAGAGTTCCTTTACAGATAAGAAAATAGAAACCCAAAGACGTTAAGTAACTTATCAAGTTTACATAGCTAGTTAATGGTGAGGTCTAGCCTTTGAACATTGACAGTTTGATGCCAGAGCCTATACAGTCAAGAATATAGAAATATATTGTCTGTATAATATAATCTCCCTTAGGACAAAAAACAATACAAAACAAAAAACTCACTGCCATTGAGTCAATTCTGACTCATAGGGACTGCCAGGGGTTTCCAAGGCTATAAATTTTTATAGTCACTACTCGTCTGTCAGTTTGTTGTACTGTGGTGGCTTGCATGTTGCTGTGAGACTGTAGGCTAAACCACCAGTATTTCAAATACCAGCAGGGTCACCCATGGTGGACAGGTTTCAGCAGAGCTTCCAGACTCTTTGTACCCATTCCAAAGAAATGATCCAACAGAATGTGGGAATTATTGAACAATATCATTAATATCACATGCAAGTAAAATTTTGGTGAAGATAATTCAAAAACGGTTGCAGCAGTATGTTGGCAGAGAACTTCCAAAAATGCAAGCTGGATTCAGAAGAGGCCATGGAATGAGAGATACCATTGCTGACGTCAGATGGATCTTGGCTGAAAGCAAAGAAAACCAAGGAGATGTTTACTTGTGTTTTATTGACTATGCAAATACATTTCACTGTGTGGATCATAACAAATTATGGATAACATTGAGAAGAATGGGAATTCAAGAACACTTAATTGTGCTTATGAGGAACTGGTATATAGAACAGGAAGCTGTCATTTGAGCAGAACAAGGGGATACTGCATGGTTTAAAATCAGGAAGGGTGTGCATCAGGGCTGTATCCTTTCACCATACTTATTCAATCTGTGCCCTGAGGAAATAATCTGAGAAGTTGGACTTTATGAAGAAGACTATGACTTCAGGACTGGAGAAAGACTCATCAACAACCTGTGATATGCAGATGACACAATCTTGCTTGCTGAAAGTGAAGATGACTTGAGCACTTACTGATGAAAATTAAAGACTACAGTCTGCAGTATGGATTACACCTCAACATAAAGAAAACAAAAATCCTCACAACTGGACCAATAAGCAGCATCATAATATAGGGAGAAAAGATTGAAGTTGTCAAAGATTTCATATTACTTGGATCCACAATCAACACCTATGGAAACAGCAGTCAAGAACTCAGAGGACGTATTGCACAGGGCAAATCTGCTGCAAAAGACCTCTTTAAAGTCCTGATGAGGGAAGATGTCTCTTTGAAGACTAAGGTGCACCTAACCCAAGCCATGGTATTTTCAGTCATGTCATACGGACATGAAAGCTGGACATGAATAAGGAAGATTGAAGAAGAGTTGATGCTTTTGAGCTGTGGTGTTGGCAAAGAATACTGAAAGTACCATGGACTGCCCGAAGAATGAACCAATCTGTCCTGGAGGAAGTGCAGCCAGAATGCTCCTTGGAAGCGAGAATGACCAGACTTCATCTCACCTACTTTGGTCATGTTGTCAGAAGGAACCATTCCCTGGAGAAGGATATCATGCTTGGTAAAGTGGAGGGTCAGTGAAAAATGGGAAGACCCCCAAAGATCCTCAAAGAGATGGATTGGCACAGTGGCTGCAACAATGGGCTCAGGTATAGCAAGGATTGTGAGGACTGTGTATGACTGGGCAGTGTTTCATTCTGTTGTACATAGGGTCGCTATGAGTTGGAGCCAACTCGATGGCACCTAACATCAACAACAAGAACAAGTTGTTGTTGTTTTTTTTAAATTATTGTGATTTGGGTGAAAGTTTACAGAGCAAATTCACTTTCCATACAGCAGTTCACATACACTTTGTCTCAGACACTGACTACAATTTACCACAATGCAACAGCTCCCCTCCCACTTCCTCCCCATAGTTACCTCTTCCCTGTGTCCATCCCTCCATGCACCCCTGCCCCCTGAGCTGTCTCCCTGTGCATAAACAGCTCTTCTTTCTCCCATGATTGACGAACAAATTTTTATGGAAGCAGATTGCCTCATCTTTCTTCCACAGAGCAGCTGGTGGGTTCAAACCACTGACCTTTTGATTAGCAGCCAAATGTCTTAACCCACCCACTCCATAAACATACTCAGCCCCACAAACATATGTCCATTCACAACTCACTCCTCTCACACTCACCCCCATAAATTCTCCTCATGCCTACCCAAAACACACTCACTTGGGGATCTATGTAAGAGATTCCAGATACAGTGGGCAAACAATATGGAACAAAACTCAAAATCACAAAATAATAATAATAATAATAAAGGGATCCAGTTTGCTGGTCTGATAGAGCCTGGTTAAACTCCTGAGACTATGGTCCCTAGCTGCCTTTCAGGTCTGGAATTGAACCCACTCTTGTGGCTTCCAGCTACAAGACAGGCATATGAACTGAAAATTTACATTAAGCAGATGCACTCCTTGGAGAGATCAATCATGGCAGAATACAAGGGCTGTGTATACACAGGGAGGCAGCTCGGGGGGCAGGAGTATACGGAGGGAAGGACACAGGGAAGAGGTTACTATGGGGAGGAAGTGGGAGGGAAACTGTTGCATTGTGGAAAATTGCAGTCAATGTCATGAGACAAAGTGTATGTGAACTGCTATATGGAAAATGAGTCTTCTCTGTAAACTTTCACCCAAATCACAATAAAAATTAAAAACAAAACAAACCCCCCCACACACACACTCACTTTCCTCACACGTGCCCCCAAGCACCACCAGAGCTCCTTCCCTTAGGAGAGGCACTCTTGAATTCCTGACAGAGAGAACACAGAGCTAAACATACAAGACTGTCCATCAGTATTGGCAAGGGACTGTTTCATTATTCAGAATTTTTGAAGATCCTTGAGAGACCAAATTGTGTACATTTCTTTGAATTTTATTTTGTTGTTGTTGAGAGTATGCATAACAAACAATTCAACAGTTACTACACATACAATTTAGTACCAGTGATTGCATTCTTTGAGTTGTACAACCATTTTCACCTTCCTTTTCTGAGGTGTTCCTCCCCTATTAACATTAACTCACTTCCCCTAAGTTTCCTATTTAATATTTAGAGTTGCTGTTGTCAATTTGACCCCATATAGATAGTTCTTAAAAGAACATAATGCTCTAGGCAGATTTTTTTTTTTTTTTTACTAGTTAAACTAAAGTATTGTTTGTTTTTAACAAGACATCAGGGGATATTTTTGGTTTCAGGCTTAAAGATTATTTCAAAGCAATAATGGTTTCAGGGGTTCATTCACCCTCCATGGCTTCAGAAAGTATATAGAGTCCATGAGAACTGGAAATTCTGTTCTGCATTTCCCCCTTGTTGATCAGGGTTCTTCTTTGGGATCTCTGATCAAAACATTCAGTAATGGTAGCCGGGCACCATTCACTTCTTCTGGTGTGTATATTTATTTATATTTTTCCATTGCTGTTCAAGTAATGCTTACTAACCAACTAACTAACCAATCAACTGGAGAACATCCTCTCTATGACAGGGTTCTATCTGCAAAGCCAAATTTCCTGAGTGAGACCAATCTTCAGAAGGCTATCCATGAGAGCCCTCAGATGTTCAACATCATTTCCGGTAATCCCTTCTTTCCACATCCCCAGAACACTGGAAAAATACGGACAGGGCAAACCTGAGTCAAGGGGTTGATTTTGAGCTCTTGGGCCTCACCAATGACCCCCAGCTGCAGATGCTGCTCTTCGTAGTGTTCCTGGGCATGTACACTATCACTTTGTTGGGGAATCTGGTCATGTTCCTTCTGATCCATGTGAGTACACCCCTGCACACACCCATGTACTCTCTCCTAAAGAGCCTTTCCTTCTTGGATTTCTGCTACTCTTCCACAGTTGTCCCCCAGACCCTGGTGAACTTCTTTTCCAAGAGGAAGGTAATCTCCTACTTTGGCTGCATGGCTCAGATGTTCTTCTATGCGGGCTTTGCCACCACTGAGTGCTACCTCATTGCTGCCATGGCCTATGACCGTTATGCTGCTATTTGTAACCCCTTGCTCTACCCAATCACCATGTCTTCTGAGGTCTGCACCTCTCTGATTGCTGGCTCCTACAGTGCAGGATTTCTCAATTCCCTTATCCACACAAGCTGTATCTTTAGCTTGAAGTTTTGTGGTGCTCACGTGGTTACTTACTTCTGTGATGGACCGCCCATCCTGTCCCTCTCTTGTGTGGACACCTCCTGTGTGAGATCCTGCTCTTCATTTTTGCTGGTTTCAACCTTTTGAGCTGCACCCTCACCATTTTGGTCTCCTATCTTTTCATCCTCATCACCATTTTGAGGATGAACTCAGCCCAGGGCAGGTTCAAGGCATTTTCCACCTGTGCCTGCCACTTCACTGCTGTCTGTCTCTTCTATGGCACAACACTTTTTATGTATCTGTGCCCCAGGTCCAGCTACTCACTGACCCAAGACCACACAGTTGCTGTGATGTACACAGTGGTGATTCCAATGCTGAACCCCTTGATCTACTCTTTGAGAAATAAGGATGTAAAGGAGGCTTTAAGAAAGGTTTTGGGCAGGAAAACAATGGGATGAAGATCTTAAATCATTACTCTGTGGCTCTAGAAAGGCATGGGGACTTTCCATTACATAGTGCTAGCCTGGACACATGACCATGCACTTCCCTGTGAAGAGTGGGCATGCCCTCTGGGCTGCAGGTGCTTCTGTATCTACCCATCACAGGAAGTAGTGATGGTGTCAGAGAGACTCAAAAGTAAGTCAGAAATGGGCAAGTTACTTAACTTTTTTGTCTCAGATGTCTTGTCTTTTAGTTGGGGTTCACAAAATTAGTGTATTAAGCATTTGATTGGAGATTGCATGTAAAACATCCAGCACATAATAGGGGCTCAGTAAATTCTCTCCTCTTCTCTTTTTCTTTCATACCAATCCTTAGGTTCTCACAATGTGGAGGTTGTGGGTGGGACTGCTTTTCTGTGAGGCTTATCTCTGTTAATTTTCTGTTCTTGGTAAATTTATCAGTCATGTAGAGGTAACTCCATTATTCATGGCCTGACTACTTTTGAGCCTGACTGCAGACAGCAGTACTTCCACTTTGCTCTTCTGGTGATGAGTCCTTCAAAGGGGTGGGCCTTCCCTGGTCCAGTGCAGCTATAACTGGGTCAGCAAGTTTGCCTCATTCAGTAGTTTAGTTTAATAAAGTCTATCCCCCATCCCCACCCCCAGTGACAATCCATGTAGCCTTTAACAGTAATACAGTTGATACCTTCATCCTTGCTAAAAGGACAAGGAGGCAACATCTTCCAACCTCCTCCAATCTCACGACGGGGAAACAGAATCATCATCAACAGCCCAAGGCTTATTCTTATGAGGCCGTTAAACATGCAGTCACCCTCCAGCCTTTTTTACCAACTCTGACACCAACCATCCCTCCCACAGCACTCACTACTTCTGGGTTCCATAATTTATTGCAATGGCCACACAGAACTCACAGACCATACCCATGATTATGGGGTTTATTAGGGGAGTGACAGGCTACAATTCAGGTTCAGGAATGTGCTCAGGGTACAATCTCTCCTCTGCTGTGTCCTCAGGCATGCCTCTCTGGTCCTTGGCCCTTTTGCTTGGCCTCCTCCCTGCATGGGCAAATGTTACAAAGCTCTTTTAGCTCTGCTGACAGGTACACTAGGTGCATGCACCCCATTCCCCCAGCAATCCTCCTGTCCAAAGGCACTCAGGTTTCTTGCCCAGAAGGCCAAGTAAGCTTACTGCTCTGTCTTGTGCCTTTTGGTTTCTCAGCCAGATCTCTGCTGGGTCATCTGCTGGGTTGTGTCTGTTGGGTTGTCTCTGCCAAGGAATCTAGTGCAGGGATCTCAGGTCCAAGGACATGCTCCACTTCACCTCCAGCTCTTTTCTCTTGATGACAGTGAGGTCTCCCTTTCTGCCTCTAGGAAGGCTCATTTTAAGCCTGGCAGAGTGAAAAAACTAACCAATCTCCACAGTAGAGTTCCATGCATTTTATTTGCATGGTCCCACCCAGTAATCTGGTGGGAGTTACAAAGACTATGGCTAGAAAAGCCATACCAAGTAATTCACTGCACCGGAATCCTCATCTGATTATATTTTATCCTATCTCTAAAGTGGTTCAGAATCAGGAGGGGAAGAATAGTACTATATATTGACACCCCACCCACAAAGATCCAAGCACTGTACATGTCCTGAATTTTAAAAGAAATTGTGCCTCTTATTGTAAAATTTCCTGTCAGTCTAATAATAATGGCTATCACCATATTTGAATATAGTGATTTTATTTCCGTGATAATTAGAGATTCTATTTGAGGCAGGATAGTGTAGCTGACATCATGTTGATAAAGTAGAGGGTCAGTGAAAATTAGGAAAACCCTCAATGAAACATTGACACAATAGCCACAACAATGGGCTCATAATGATGGGTTCCATAATTCATCGCAATGGCCACACAGAACTCACAGACCATACCATGATTATGGGGTTTATTAGGGGAGTGACAGGCTACAATTCAGGTTCAGGAATGTGCTCAGGGTACAATCTCTCCTCTGCTGTGTCCTCAGGCACAATCCCAATGTTACCAAGGGTCATAAAGATGGCACAAGACCAGGCAATGTCCCCATGAGTGGAAGCTGACTGAAGTGCAAGTAACAAGTAACAAGTAACAAGTATACCTGATAAGAACAATACCACCTTGATTCAAATCCTACTTCTATCATTTCTCATATGTGTGGCATTGTTTAACTTCCCTGAGACTCAGTTTCCTCTTTTCTAAAATAAAAACAATAATAATTTTATAATTGTTGCTATGAGAATTAAGCAAGTTAATGTAAGTAAAGCACATAGTCCAATGCCTGGCACATACTAAGCACTTAATAAATATTATTAGAAAAGGCTGATGACTTTAATCAAAGACCTTTCAACAATTCTTAATAGAATCATGCAATTTTCCTCTTTTATTTTGTTCCTGTGGTGAATTGAACACACAGATTTCCTAATGTTAAACCATCTTTGTTTCTGGGAATCCTATTTGGTTATGAAATAATTTTCTTTTAATAGACTATAGGATTTGATTTATAATGATTTTATTTAGACTCTTGGCATCAATATTCAAAGATAAAGTTGGTCTGTCATGTTTTTGTATTATTTTTATTATGCTTTAGTATTAAGCTTAAGCTAGTTTTGTAAAATATATTGGAGTTCCTTCTTCCAACCCTATATTGTAGAATAATTTATATAAGACAGGTCTATCTGTTCTTTAAATATTATATATGTTCATCTATAAGACCATCTGATGCTTTTTAAAAAGGTAGATCTTAAATTATTTATCAATTTTTAATATGATTATTGGCTTTATTTTAATTTTCCTGCTTAATAAGTCAATTTTATTAATTACTATTCTGCTCAAAAAAATTTCCCTCTGTTGTTGTTGTTTTTAGGTGCTATTAAGTCAGTTCCAACTCATAGTGATTCCATCTATAACAGAATGAAACACTGTCTGGTCCTGTGCCATCTCATAATTTTTGCTCTGTTTGAGACCATTGTTGCAGCCACTGTGTCAATCCATCTCCTCGAGGGTTTTCCCTACGCTTTACTTTACCAAGCATGATGCCCTTCTCCAAGACGTGTCCCTCCTGGCCAAAGTACATGAGATGAAGTCTTCCCATCCTTTGTTTTTTTTTGGAGGGGTGGCTTTACCAAACAGAAATTTATACTTTCTCACAGTTAAAAAGAAAACCTCCACACTCACTGCTGTTGAGTTGATTCCAACCCTAGTGACCCTCATTGGGTTTCCAAAGTGGTAAATCTTTACAGCAGCAGAATGGGTCATCTTCCTTCTGTGGAGTGGCTGGTGGGTTTGAACAGCCAACTTTCTGGTTGGCATCAAATGCCTTGGGCACTGCCCCACCAGAGCTCCTTTTCTCACAGCTTTGGAGGCTAGAATTTAGGTGCTGGCTCTAGGGGAATGCTTTTTCTCTCTCTTGGCTCTGAAGGAAGGTCTTTGTCTCTTTGAGTTTCTACTCCTGGCACATCTTCACGTAGTTTGGTATCTCTCTTCTCCCATCTCTGCTCTGCTAGCTTCTTTAATCTCTTTTATATGTCAAAGGGATTGACTTAAAACACACTCTACACTACATAACAAAGACAACCCATCCCAAATGGGACTATAACCACAGGCATAGAAGTTAGGATTTACAATTTTTTTTTTGGGGGGGGGGGCACTATTTAATCCATAAAACAATCTAAAAATATTAGAATTTTAAAACAAAATAAAAAGTAACAAAAAAATTTTATAAAGAAAATAAGAGATATCTATTCTACTGTCTTCTAAACACAAAAGAAAAGAAAACCCAGTAAGATAAATTTCCCAGGGTCACTGACTGAAAATTGTCTCTGGAGATCATGGAGGTTAGCCCCGTATTGGGCAGCAGGTTCCCCATCCTTCCTTTGAAGGAGCATTCTGGCTGTACTTATTTCAAGACAGATTTGTTCGTTTTTCTGGCAGTCCAAGATATATTCAATATTCTTCACCAACACCATAATTCAAAGCATCAGTTCTCCGGTCTTCTTTAGTCATTATCCAGCTTTCACATGCATATGAAGCAATTGAAAATACCATGGCTTGCGTGAGGTACTGTTTTGGTTACCTAGTGCCGCTCTAACAGAAGATACCACAAATGTGATGGCTTGAAGCAACAGGAGTTTATTCTCTTACACTTTGGAGACTTTAAGTCCAAGTTCAAAGTGTCAGGCTCTAGGGGCTGGGTGAAAGCCCCTCGATCTTGGGCTTCAGCTCTGCCTCTTGCTTCTGGCCCACTGAAGCCTAGAGGCTTTTCTTCACTCAGTTGCTGGCTGCTGAGGGTGACAAGCCCAAGGTTGACAAGTAAAAAGGCACAGTCCCAATGTTACCAAATCACATAGCAGGCCATTAATTCAAGTCTGTTGAAAGTCCCAAGGTCAACAGAGCATGGCAGGCTGCTGAACAACAACATGGCTACATGCAGGGTTCAAGCGTGCCATAAGCTAGAGACCATTCCCCAAGGCTTCTGCTTATATACAGAAAGCAGACCGCGTTCCCTAAGGCAGCTACACAGCTGCTCACAGTAGATTCCACCATGGAGTTTATTACCAGTCTCATCATGGATACTACATCCAGCTGCCCAGCTGAGATGGCTGGTTGAGTGGCTAGTCAACCAGGCCCAGCCAAGTTAACACACAAACTTAACTACCATAGATACACGTTAGTCTTCAAAGTGACATCATTGCTCTTTAACTCTTTAGAGAAGTCTTTTGCAGCAGATTTGCCCAATGTAATATGTCATTTGATTTCCTGACTGATGCTTCTCTGGGCATTGATTATGAATCCAACTAAAATGTAGTCCTTAACAAATTCCATATTTTCTCCAGTTATAATGATGTTGTTCAATGGCTCATTTGTGAGGATTTTTGTTTTCTTTATGTTGAGATGTAATTCATACTGAAGGCTTTGCTCTTCATCAGTAAGTGCTTCATGTCCTCTTCACTTTCAGCAAGTAAGGTTATTCCATCAG